TCAGTGTTATAAAGAATTTTCTTCTTAGCTAGAAAAAAAAATGAGACTATGTTTCTAGTTCTATTCCTCGTCCATCGGACCTGAAGGTGGAAGGATATCTAACTTCCTGTGATACTTGGAATAGTGACAATGCCCAAGTTCTAACCTAGTTTCATAATTCTGTGGATGACTGTATTGGAATGATGTTTTCCAAGTACAGTACTGCCAATGAGGTAGGAGATTATTTACTAGGTGTTTATCAGCAGTCTAACTTTGCCAAGCGGTATGAGTTGGAAACAGCTATTTAGAGTGCTCGTCAGCGGAATCTAACTATTCAAGACTTCTATATTGAGATGACAGGTCTCTGGGATCAGTTGGCTCTTATGAAACCACCTAGTCTCAAGATACTGGATGCTTATATTGAATTTCGGGAGCAAGGTCGTTTGGTGCAGTTCTTAACAGCTCTCTCCCCTCAATATGAGGCTATCCGAGGTGGCATCCTTCACCGATCTCCTCTTCCCTCTATGGATGCTATTGTTCATGAGCTCATCTCCGAGGAAACCCATCTTAAGACGACTAATCAGACTCTGCCTCCCTTTGTTTTCTTGGCTCTTGCTAAGCCTCCTTTATTATCGACTCCACCTCCTCATCAACTTCAGGCCACTGCAAAACCCAGGAAAGGACCATAAAGTCTAGATGAGTGTGTTTTCTACCATCAGATAGGTCATTGGAAGAACAACTATCCCAAGAAAGGACACCAGTCTGCTCCGACACAGTTCCGCAACCCTTTTCCTGGTACTTTCTGACCTCCTGCCGCTTATACTGCATCTACTCTGGCTCTCAATCCTAACTTGGCTTCCTTGAGTACTCAGATTACACAACTTCAGCATATCATGTCCTTGTCTCAGCCATCCTCATCTGCCTCCAGTCTTACCTCTCTTCATTCAAGTTTGCTTGGGTCCTCTTCAAGTGTCCCTTCTTCTATCTGGCTTTTTGATTCTGACGCCTCTCATCATATGACTCATCACTTTTCCTTACTTCAAAACTCTATTCCCTCATCCGTTTCTATTACAATTAATACTGCTAATGGGTCTAGTATATCTGTTCTATCTATTAGGTCTGTCTTACACTCTGCCTTGTTTGTTATTACTATTCCCTCTGTTCTCTATGTCCATCAGCTATCTGTCAATTTATTATCTATCAATCAACTTGATACTTCTGGTTTTGATATTATTTTTTCCTCTTCTGTCTACTGTGTGCAGGATCGCGTGTCCAAGAAGTAAATTGGGACCAGCTGTAAAGTTGGAGATCTATATATGGTAGAAAGCTTACATCTCTCCCCATCCACCTCTCCAGCTACACTTCCCTCATTTCAATTAGATTCTTAGTCGAGTCAGTTTTACTTATGGCATTCTCACTTTGGTCATTTGTCTGTTGGCTGCTTACGATTTTTAGCTAAATCAGGGTTGTTGGGTAATGTTTCTTCTAGTCAAATTAATGAATGTCGCGGGTGTAAACTTGTCAAAATGTCAGTTTTACTATTTAATAAAAGTACATCTATTTCTGTTTCTCCTTCTTCTCTTGTGCATACTGATATTTGGAAACCCTCTCATGTTCTTACTAAAGGGGGTTCTGCATACTACATGTCTTTTGTTGATGATTACACCCGCTATACTTGGGTTTATCTTATGACTCATAAATCTGACTTTTACCAAATATACCGTAACTTTCAGTCTATGATCACTACACAGTTTGGATATACCATTAAATTGTTACGATCTGACTTAGGTGGAAAGTTTTTTAAAACTGAGTTCTGTAAGTATCTGGCCAATTTAAATACCATTCACCAAACTTCCTATACTAACACATCCACCCAAAATGATTGTGTTGAGCGTAAACACCGTCATCTCCTTGAGACAACTAGATCTCTCATTCTTTCTACCTCTGTTCCGGCTCCCTTTTGGAGGGGGAAGCCGTTCTTACAATTGTTTTACTTCTCGACCGTATGCCTACCCTCCTACTCTCTAGTCGTTCTCCTTATGAGGCTCTATTTTCCTAACTCCTCAATTACTCCCTTCTTCGTGTTTTTGGGTCTGCATGTTTTGTCCTTCTTCCCTGGAAAGATAGGACAAAACTTAGTGCCCAGTCTATCCTGTATGTCTTTTTGGGATACAACATTACTCGGAAAGGCTATCGCTGTTACGATCATTTTTCCCGCCGCCTTTATGTCTCTCACCACATTGCCTTCCTAGAGCATCTAACTTACTTTCAACTTCCTCCTCTCACTACTCCAGTTTCTAAAGAAGATTTGGTTCATATTGACCCATTTCTTCTGAGGTCCCTCCTGATGAATACATCTCTACTGTTCCCTATGAACTTGTTTCTTCTTCTTGTCCTGCTACACCTTCTGCTGAGTCCCTCTCTACTGTACCGCATGAGTCTGTTCCATCTTCTCCACCTCCTCCCCTGCCTACTCATTTTCCTCCTCCGTTGTTAATCTATTCTCGGCGCAAGGCTCTCCCTCCACCAGTTGTCTCTGCCCCTGCTGTTGATCATCCTGCTTCTGACGACCCTGATTTGACTAACCGTAAGTATCCCCTTCGCGTTCGTAAGTAGGTAGTCAAACTTGGTTTTGCTAAAACCTATTTTTCTCCTTCATATTGTACATTTTTGTCTGCTAATGGGAGATGGAAAAACACAACTGTATGTCACATTATTTGAAGAGGCTAAGAAAATTATAGGATGTCTAACAACTGAATTCATAGCATCCAAAGAAAAGACAATTTTACCAAACGCATAAACAGTGTCACATTTGTAACATACTAACATAGCAAAGGAAAGAAGTTAATTTAAAACTATGCTATTATTATTGTTAGTATATGAAGGTAAGAATAACAAATTTTACAATGCACTAAAACTTACTTCTGGACGTACATATATATTTATTACATGGCTAGACAAAATAAATGACAAGGATGGCACATCGGGAAAATTGCAGTAGAAAAAGTATAAAATGACAAAGATCAATATGAAATGAAAAATAGTAATAAAACAAATTCCCAAAGCTTAACCACAAAATGGATCAAACTAGAAAATAAATGAATCTTGTAAAAATATTTTATCTTTCAATTCCTTTACTTATTTTATTTCAAAATAATAATAGTAATAATATTAATGTTAGTTGTATGTTTTATTTTTTCACCTTAAATAATAATATTATTACAATATTAGTTTGGCGTTTTATTTCTTTACCTTTTAATTACCAAGTGGCTTTTATATATATATATATACATAACAAAAATAAAACAACCCAGTGAATTATATATTTAATAGTAATAAGTTCAACCATGTGATATGAACTACAATTATTTTATGTGATTGGTTTCAATCTACTTTCAAATTTTAATGCTTAAAATGAAATATAAAAATATGAGATAATATGTGAAATGTTTATACTAATTTTTATTCTTTTATCATAGAGGAATAGATATATTATTGTTTTCAATTGACAAAATAATCTCACATATGAACGATATGAAATCTGGTTAGACTACCAATTTGATCACCAATTTTCAACCAAATAATAGACGACTCCATAAAATGGACATGGAGTCACATCCATAGTTTGAATCCACAACACACATAAGGCATATGTGAGAATTACCATACATAAATCTATATATTTATGTTATTCATACTAGCTGTTCACATGCGTGATGTGTACAATTTAAATAAATAAAAATATATATATTGTGTAATAATATTAATTTCATTATACAATCATTTTATATAACCAAATACTACCTAAAAATACAAAAATATATCAAAGATAAAATATTGAAAAATTAAAACACTTTTTGGACTTTTAAACATAAACATCAAATATTATAAATAAATAATAAAAAAAAACCATATTGATTAAAATGGTAAAACTATTATAAAAAGCTAAAAATAAAAATTAAAAATTAAAAAAACACAAAAATAAATATAAGAAAAATTATTGCAACACGTGCACCTCCACTAGTATTACAAAATACCTAAACATAATCCAAATATCAATTTCAAATCCTTAAAAACTAAGTTTGGTTGTTTTAGCCAAGTAAATAGACTACTTTTCACTTGGTCAGATTTTCAGCTTATTTACCAACAAAACAATTCAAGGGGACCTCTCCTTCGTACCTTCATCTCTTTATTTCTCTTCATATTTCATTTTGTAAGTCTTAATTCAGACTTACACCAATGATCCAAATAGTCGATCTCGTAAATTTCATTACAAAGGTCATCTATACAAAAGAAAAAAAAAATCAATTTCATTGAAAAATTATAAACTAAAGAAAAAATTACATTTTATTTTATAAAATGAACATATGTGATTGTAAATTTAAACCATAAACTTAATAAAATAAAATATTTTTTGTTCCCGTGTTTATAATTTTTCGATGAAACTTATTTTTTTTAATAGATGACATTTATTACAAAACTTATGAGATACACAGTTCGAATTATCAATACGAGTCCAAATTGAAATGTAAAAAAAATAAAAAAATAAATAAAAAGTATAGAGATGAAAATATAAAACAGAGCCTATCCCCGGATCAAAAGCTTGGTTGGTGAGATTTCTTACCCAACTTCCAAAATGATCTGAACAATTCATGTCACTGTCAGAGATGAAAAAAAAAAAAAAATTCAAACACATTAATGATCAATACATTAATAGGGGTCATGGGGATACTCCTTTGTGGGGTCCCAAACATTTTCTTTTTAGCTACCCAAAAAATGTTTTTGTTCAGTTTAGTTTGCCTGGGAGAGCAGAATAATAAACCAATCATAATTTAATATATAAAAAAAGAGAAAAAGATTACACCAACACTTATCCGTTGCTGAGAAAATTTGAATAAGTTGAAGTAGGCCGACTATAATCAAATATGTAACATATGTAGCACTTGCAGGCCAAAGCAATTTACTAGCCCATTGGGAAAATTGCAAATCATCACTGGTTAGATCCAAAAAAAAAAAAATGAAAAATCATGAAAAAGCATATCATTTCAATTATTAAATAGTAAACTTTATCACCGATTTACAATTTATTTAAAAACTTACACTAAATTGCAATTTTCCCCTAGTCCATTACACACCAATGATGCAATCCCCAAAGACTATACATTATGACAAGGAAGTTCTGGTAGGCTATGTTTGATTCGCAGTTACAATGATGCGGTAGGATAAGATATTTCAGCAAGGATATTTTAGGTATTTTGCAATAAAATTTTTCTCTGGGACAATAATCCACATATACAGGATAAATGGCCCTTGGGTCATAAAATCTAATGGGAAATAGTTTTATTCCAGGATGAAATAGTCCGATTCTGCCCATTTATCCCAAATCAAATGTGACCTTATTTCTAGCTACAAGTCCATTTTCGTATCAAGGTATATACAACTACTCAACTTGTGCAAACCCTATTTCTGGGGGTCATGAGATTGAACTCCAAATGGGGGAGCCGGAGGGCCATAATACTGGGGAACTCCTGTTGCTTCAGTGCGACCTCTGGCCCTACCGAAAAGGTAAGCCGCGATAGCTACGATCAAGAACAACAAAATCACCGGCAACGATATCACAATATAGCCCATAATTTACTTTCACTGAGGTTGCACAGCCAGTAAGTAGTCCTACATCATAATATGAAAGAGACCAGCAAACTAAAATGTAACTCAAATTCATCAGTTCATCAAAATGAAAAATAAAAAATTATGGAAGAAGAATAAAGAGGTAATTGATGTCATGTTAATAGAACACAATCTTCTTTTCTTTTCTTTTCCTTTGTTGGGTCATAATGGGTTCTAGATTCAGTGCCTAATTGACATGAATGGCTTTAAAATATAGTCCTAGCCAATTTGGAGAAACTAAAGTTTGTTTTCACATTGAGATTTCTCACTATTAAAAGGACCTAAGTCAGTGTTACAATGTTACTTCGACTCCACTAAGGTTTCTCACCAAAAAAAAAAAAAGATTACGCAGACAAGTCATGATGATGCTTCGAAATAATTGAATAATTTTTCACTTGGCAAAACAAATAAAATGGAAAAGTTTCAACAAGAAAAGAGTATTCTGGGTGCATATTGAAATCATTAGCCATTGATGTCAATCTCACTAATAATAAAATGACCTACATGACTGCCACAAGGGTATCCAATGGGGGGGGCTAGAACTACATTCTCTTCCATTCCATTTTGGGGAAAAGGAAACCCAACCCACGTTACATTGCCTACCAATCTGTGTTTGGCTCCCAAGAAAATTCATATATAAAACCATGGTTTATGCCAAATACGGGAAAGAGGTTCAATGCAATTGGAATTTTTACTTATTTTTTTCAATCAAAGTGAATATTCAGTTATGTGCAATGGTCCAATACATTACCACAAACATTCAGCAAACTCAACAATTCCACACACACACACAAAAAAAAAAAAAAACCATGTGTGTGTGGGAGAGTTGAAACTTTTACATTCTCAATTTATTGGGATTCATATTGAACGCAAAAAAATAAAATTGGAACATAATTTGAGTATGAAAATCAGATATTGCCAATATTGATCAGGAAATTGAATTGAATTGAAAAACTAAAGTTAAAAAAGCAAATGAATAATAAAAATAAAAATAAATGAATTGAAAGAATACCCTGATTACAGTTAAACAAACCCAAATCAACGAAGAGAAGATCAAAAGAGAAAAGAAACAGAGCTGAATTAGATGATCAAAACTACGAACCCTTTACGTACCTCGTTGTTTGCCCTAAACTCAATTGAGAGAGAGAGAGAGAGAGAGAGAGAGAACCCAAAATTCAACACTAAATCTCGCCTCTGCTTCCACAGAATTTGTGTGACTATCAGCTACTACAAGCGGTGTACAACAAATCGATTCTGTGGACGCATAAAGTTTTCTCCAATTTACAACAAATATATAAACGGAAACAATATATCAGTGGTCAGATCAAAAAAAAAAATGTAAAATCATGAAAAAGCAGATCATTTCAATTATTAAATAGTAAACTTTATCACTGATTTACAATTTATTTAAAAACTTACATTAAATTACAATCCTAGTCCATTACACACCAATGATGCAATCCCCAAAGACTATACATTATGACAAGGAAGTTCTGATAGGCTATGTTTGATTCGCAGATACGATAATGCGGTAGGATAAGATATTCCAGGATGAAATAGTCCTATTCTGCTCATTTATCCGCAAATCAAATGTGACCTTATTTGTTATTACAAGTCCATTTTGGTATCAAGGTACATATAACTACTCAACTTGTGCAAACCCTATTTCTGGGGGTCATGAGATTGAACTCCAAATGGGGGAGCCGGAGGGCCATAATACTGGGGAACTCCTGTTGCTTCAGTGCGACCTCTGGCCCTACCGAAAAGGTAAGCCGCGATAGCTACGATCAAGAACAACAAAATCACCGGCAACGATATCACAATATAGCCCATAATTTACTTTCACTTAGGTTGCACAGCCAGTAAGTAGTCCTACATCATAATATGAAAGAGACCAGCAAACTAAAATGTAACTCAAATTCATCACTTCATCAAAATGAAAAATAAAAAATTATGGAAGAAGAATAAAGCGGTAATTGATGTCATGTTAATAGAACACAATCTTCTTTTCTTTTCTTTTCTTTTCCTATGTTGGGGTCATAATAGGTTCTAGATTCAGGGCCTAATGGACATGAATGGCTTTAAATATAGTCCTAGCCAATTTGGAGAAACTAAAGTTTGTTTTCACATTGAGATTTCTCACTATTAAAAGGACCTAAGTCAGTGTTACAATGTTACTTCTACTCCACTAAGGTTTCTCACCAAATAAAATCTATATATATTAGGCAGACACGTCACGATGATGCTTCGGAATAACTGAATAATTTTTCACTTGGCAAAACAAATAAAAAATCATTAGCCATTGATGTCAATCTCACTAATAAAATGACCTACATGACTGCCATAAGGGTATCCAACGGGAGGCCTTAGAACTTCATTCTCTTCCATTCCATTTTGGGGAAAAGGAAACCCAACCCACGTTACATTGCCTACCAATCTGTGTTTGGCTCCCAAGAAAATTCATATATAAAACCATGGTTTATGCCAAATACTGGAAAGAGGTTCAATGTAATTGAAACTTTTACTTATTTTTTTCAATCAAAGTGAATATTCAGTTATGTACAATAGTCCAATACAATACCACAAACATTCAACAAACTCAACGATTCCAAAAAAAAAAAAAACATGAGTATGTATCTCAATTAATTGGAATTCATATTGAACCCAAAAAAATAAAATTGAACATAATTTGAGTATGAAAATCAGATACTGCCAATATTGATCAGGAAATTGAATTGAATTGAAAACTAAAGTTAAAAAAGCAAATGAATAATAAAAATAAAAATAAATGAATTGAAAGAATACCCTGATTACAGTTAAACAAACCCAAATCAACGAAGAGAAGATCAAAAGAGAAAAGAAACAGAGCTGAATTAGATGATCAAAACTACGAACCCTTTACGTACCTCGTTGTTTGCCCTAAACTCAATTGAGAGAGAGAGAGAGAGAGAGAGAGAGAGAGAGCCCAAAATTCAACACTAAAAATCTCGCCTCTGCTTCCACAGAATTTGTGTGCCTATCCAGTAGCTACAAGTGGTGTACAACGATATTCGAAAATTCGAAGAAATCTGAATTTATAAAGACACCGTATAAATCGATTCTGTGGACGCATAAAGTTTTCTCCAATTTACAACAAATATATAAACGGAAACAATATACACCTGCAACTTCTAATTTTTTTTTTAAAAAATGGTATAACTTTAATTTTATGAATTATACTTAAAAAAATATTATAATTAAAAATAATAGAGATGTAACTAAAGAAAACATAATATAATTTATAAGTCATAATCAAAAAATAATAATTATAATTAAAATAAAAAATAACATAATTAAAAATGCATGGTACATTCTTTTTAAAAATAAGTGTATATTAGGGGTGATTTGAGATGATCTAAATAAGTGTACTTTTTGACTTTTTACGAAAAGATGTACAGAGAAGTAGAGAGGTGATGTGACTTAAAAAAATAAAAAGATAAAAAATGTACTATTTTAATACACCCCAAGCAGACTTGTTCAAACAAAAATGCTCTACCCTTGTGTCATTTTTCATTCATGGTCGAGGTTTTGGTGTCTCCACTTAATTTTTATTTATTTATTTTTTTTTTTCAACGACGAACTTAATTGTAAAATGAGAAATTTTGTTGCACATGTAACATTTTCCACTCTGGTTGACAAGAAGCTTTGTTACCTCATTTGGTTGGTAGAACTTATTAGATGATTAATAAGTTTATTTATGTTTAGTCTCTTACAAGAAATGTAGTTAATTTAGGATTAATCACTTGAGACAGACCTGAGGTTGGACTGGATTGGATTTGGGCTTGAACAATCTCTTGAAATTCTAGTGGGCGTTGGGTTGCCCTTGCAAACCCAATGGGTTGGACCAAAAGGTAGGCATTGGGGCCTTGTTTATGAATCGTTTACCTTTAAGATGTGTTTGGATATTAGATTTTTTGAGAAATTTGTGTGAACAAAAAGAAAAGAAAAGGAAAAAAAAAAACAAAGAGAGTTTGGCTTGTATTGTATTCATTTTTTTAAACAATTATTTCTATCACTAAACTTGTTTTTATGCATTTGTACAACAGGTGTGGATGTCTCCATATTCTTGTCTCCTCTCTCTAACTCACTTTCTTAACACCATGTATCAAAATAATCGACCAAAATAATTAACTTGTTAGGCCTCGTTTGGCAATAGGCTATTTTAGCCAATTAGTCAAAAAGTTACTAAATTAGTCAAAAAGCAAACAACTCATACCAAAAAGTCAAAGATTCTCTTTTCTCTCTACTTTTTGCACATCTTTTCGTAATTAGCCAAAAAGTCATTCCAAACATACAAGTTTTTTTTACCTACCTTTTTAGCCAAATAGCCAAAAAGTTACTAAATTAGCCTGTTCCCAAACGAGGCCTTAATTGAAAGTTGGCACACCATGTGGAAGGATGAATATTTATGATATGAAATTTAGAAAATGAAGGACAAAGATCGCGTGTCTGTACGACACGTATTTGAGTATGATAGTAACACTAACTTACTTACTTGGTATTACTGGTCAATAAAAGTCACAAATGAAAATTAAGTGAATTAGTATTATCTTCTATTAACCCAATTATATTGTGATTTTTAAGCGTAATGCGATTGCTTATTAGATAAGAATTTTATCATGTTGTATCGCTATTATATCCAAATGTATATTAACAAAGTTTATTGAGATTTTTATTGTTTTTGCATCCAGCCTGTTTGTCCCTGATTGTGATTTTCCTTGAAAATAAAGGTGGGCAGAGAGGCAAGTTGTTCTATTGTTTCACCCCTACTA